AAAAAACACCTTCATGTAAGCTAAGATGGCAATTTCTTTTCTGGGCCAGGTGCTGGAGTGGATACAGGGGCTGGCTGCTGTAATCCTACATCCCATTGTGATGGAATTAGCTAGACTATCATCATGACTATTTGTAGAGCACATGGTTGTCATATGATTTGGGAATTTGAACTGCTATATTCTGGTAGAAAAGAGAGGCTAGGTTTGAGTCCAGAACTTCCATTGTAACTCATAACCCTGACATCTCAAGCAAGCATTAGGGCCAGGATAGGTAATCACCAATTTCAGAATTAAAGAGACTAAAAAGAGAACCTTTTCTGTACAATTGTGTAGAAGACAGCTACATCATGCTGTTCTGGGAATATGAAATCTTAAATTGTTTCTCACCAGACAGGATAGGCAGTAGGTCATCCAGGTGTATAACAGAACAATTCAGTTTCAAATGAACCTCCAAACAACAGCTCAGAGCAGGTCTAATCAGGTCACATTTCTTAGGGCTGTGTCTGGGTGAGTCTTGAAGGCCTCCAAGAATAGAGATTTTACATCCTCTTTGAGTTTACACTCTGTGTTTCAGTATTTGAACTCTGTCATGACAACTTATTTTATCACCGTACCTGACCAGAAATTCCCATGTTTCAACTTTTGGCCATTGTGCCCAATCCCACCATCATGCATTTCTAAGAAGAGTCTAGCTCCACCATCACTCTTTCATCTGATCAGGATGCTCTAGACAAGAATAAAGTCTTCTCTAAGCCTTCCCTGTCTCACTGACCAGTAGGGCCACATTCTCCTCAAACCTGCTTTTGCTGCCAATATTCCTATAAAAGACCTTTCTTGCCAGCCTTCACATTCTTTGCTAATTTCAAGTGCAACTAAGCTTTAGTTTTTCTGACTTAATTTCTGAATGGACAGACAATGTCTTTGCATTCTTCCTCAGTAGCCTACCCTGCCTCCATCTTCCGTGTGCATTTTTTTTTTTGTGTTTGAGATCAGTCAGGAGCTCTGCATTCATTCTGGCCTTTTGCCAGCTTGCTTGGCTTTATACACATTGAGACAGATCATTCCAGTGCTCTGAAGATCAACCAGGTCACCCTAGACATTTTCCTTCCAGGGCAGTTTCCTACAGGAACCTGGAAGTAAGTCCCTGAACATGCCAAAACCTACACTTCTGAAGTTTTGGATCTAGATTACTCCTCTCAGGATCTTAAACTTCATATTCTTGACTCCACAAGAATCATGGTTACTGCAGCAAACAATGTTGCCCTTTACACTGTCCAGCAATTATTGTGCATATATGAGTCACGGGTCCAAGAGAGCATATTCCCTTACCCATTCCTCTGTCACATGGACCAAGATACTACCCTCAGTATATTTCAGAAATCTCCTAGACTGATTTGTCCAGCTTTGCTGTCCTTCCAACAGGGTGAATAAGGCCCAGAGAGGAACTAATGTCTGTGGCTGAGACTTTCTCCAGTTGCTTAAATAATGCTTCACCTGTGTTTGTGTGTGTGTGCGCACATGTTCTTTATCAGGCAGGATGTAAGAGATAACCATCCCTGTGTTTGTCTGTCCTCTGATCCTTACCCAAAAGCTCACTATTCACTCATCACCTGTCCCAAGGCAAAATCCACACACCTGCTTTATACAGAGCTCAACCTCTCCTCCTCAGTATCCTTACCCACCCTGCCTTTTCTGCATCCCTCCAGTGCAGCACTATAGTCATGAGAGCTATCCTACCACATCACCATAATCCTAACAAAGTCTTAGATCTACAGTTGTGCATACACAATCCTCCTGCATATTGCTTATGCTCACAGTTCTGTGTACAAGCATTCAAGATGGGTCCCAAGTTGCACTGCTTTTATAGGGAAGTGAGAGAGCCTTCCCTGTCAGGCTGTTTGGCATATTCAGCTGCACTTTCTCTTGTATCCTCAGCTGTCTCCATGTTATGGTAACCCCTCCTGGCATACCTCATGTAAAGCCACCCTCACTAGGTCAGAAAGTTTGTTTACAAAGACCCCCTTTGCCAAGCATACCCCAACCACTTCTCTCTATGACTGTGGTCACAGAAGCCAAAGGCCTGTCTGTAAAACCAGCCATGCAGCCAAGCTTTGACACTCTGTCACGCTTAGTCCACTCAGACTTTTCCCTCTCTCCTGGTCAGGATCTGACAGACATCATCTGTTCCATCTGTCCTTTACCCTCCCCTTAAGTGTAGCCATCCCTAATGCACTCCAGGCTGCTCTCAGCAGCATTGCAGGTGCTCCCATGGAAGATCAGCAAAGGGTAAAAATCCAAAGGATAAACAAGCCTGAGAAGCACCGCCACACATTCCAGACTGGCTGCTGGATTACTGCCCTCATCTCCACAGGAAGGAGTCTCCTTTAACTAACAGAGGGCTTTTACCCTTCATGCAGACACAAGGTTCAGGCTGACTCTGATCCCATACATCTGATCTGTTCCTAACTCAATTTCCCTCTAATATCAGTGCTCCTGCATTTATTTTGAATTGCTGCTTGGCACAAGAACTTTGAAGCTGACTTTATTTGATGGTACACAAGGGTACCGTACACGAGGGTTTGTAGTTAGAGCATCGGTACTTGGAAAAAAACAGCATTTCTGCTTGGGGAGTTGGTAAGTCAGACTATCTCAGTTTTTACTGCACATGCTGCTGGAATTATTAGGAGATCCAGACAGCTGCATAAAGACTCAACAAAAGCCCCTGTAGGTCTACAGCCAGCCATCTTCAATAGCACAAGCACAGATAGGTAATAAAATAGCACTATACTTCACATGACAAAACATGGGACCAGGAGTACCAGTAGCAGTTTTAAGTCTCCCTAGTTCATCTTGCTGCTTAAACTTATCATTCAGATGAAAATGAAACTACTTAAAAAGTAGTCTGCGAGTAGGCAATCAGACATTTGCTGAGTTCAAAATTATGATTCTAAGTAGCAGGTTAAAAGAAATAGAAGATGAAGGTGTTGAATGATATCTTCTTTTAAAAACTTATTCTAAGGAGAATGTGACAGTAGAAGGGCATGCAAGGAGACACAAGAAATGTTGTTTAAAAACAAACAAACAAGTCTCTTATTTCATAATCAAAATTTTTTAGAAGGATGGAAATCTGAAGCAACCTTGTAAAAAAGCCCAAAAGAAAAAGAAAGTTGTGTATATTTAGACCTATGGATGATAGGTCTGCTCATTTTCTATACTGCTGCATATGAAACAAATCTTTGCTTTGCATTATTTAACTTTGTTTCCAAGGTTCATTAAATATGTGAAGGTTCTTCTTGAGGCCTGAAAGCATTCCTGAGCTCTCCGGCAATGACTAACCCTCTCACCTTCCTTTTTATTGTGTTGAAGAAGAAAATTAAATTGGGAGAAGCACACAAAAAAAGGTGAACCTTCCTCTCCAAGACTCAAGATGTTCGCAGAAAGAAATATGAAAAACAACAAAGTGTTAACTCATGGAGAAAAGCAGAAGCATCTACAGCAGAGGAATGTCAGTCCTTTGAAGAATGCATATACTCCAGATCCTATCTGAATATAAAAATGAATGCTTTTAAAATTCAATTAAGAAAAGGCATCCAACTTTCTCTTATAGGTATAGCAATGTAAGAATTAATAGTTGGCATTGGTGTACAAGAAGCAACATCAACAGCCTGTCATCTAGGTCATTGATTAGAATTTCCACAGAGTACTGTTCACACTGTACTGTGATCATTAACAAAGACGAGTTATTTCAATAAATGCTGTAAATTTCAAAACAAGTGCTGTAAAACTCCATGTTTGCAGCCATTGCCAGCCATTACAAACAATTCAAGGCAGCTTTCTGTTGCCTGGATTTTCCATTTTAAGAAGGCACACATTAAATATAGAGCAAACTATTCATTCTGCCCTGGCCTTACGTAAGTGACACTGCAGGCCATCCCTGGAAATAATGTTGGCAGAAGAGCATGGTCAAGAAACGCCATCTGCTGTCTCCTAGATCACTGTTCCAAAAGGCTGCTGCAGTGCAAGGACCTGAACAAAACTCATGTTTCATTTTACTGGAGGAAGAACATCTGAGTATGATAAAGAGCAATCCTTTTCCATACAAGAACACCCCAAAGAACTCTCAGATCCTCACCATAGCTACTTATAACACATAAAATATTAAGTAGCTTCCTACAGAATCTCTTGCTGTGAAACCTAGAGAAAAAAATGCAGCAATTCATTTTGAAATGTAAATGCCTTGGGTTTTTTTTCCAGACTTTTAAAAATAAAGTTAATTGATTTTAAGAATGTTGACTTCTCTTTGAGTTCAAGATTCATCGTTGATAAAAATTGAGTATCAATTCCAGTACCAATGCTCATCCTATTTTCTGAGGCTTTCTCCATGAAAGCTGTCTAGCAATTCAACCCTTGACATTCCAGCCACTCTAATCTAGCAAAACCCCTAAGTATTTGCTAATCTTTAGACAAATTTGGGTTCCTGATCTTGGGGGCTGGGATACCAGGATTCAACACCACCTTAGCACACCCAACTAAGCATCAGACAGAAGAGTCTTCAACACAAAAGTCAATGTGCTTCGAATCTTGATGCACCAAAAGATGAATCCATAAATAATCACCCAAATCCAAGATTACCTAAGTAACAGACCCTGGGACTTGTATGACACAAATTAGGCACAGTTCAAAATCAGATGCATAAATATTAATCTTCCTTATTTCTCCCAGCTTTTTTTTATCTAAGGGAAAATGTTAGCAGTCTTCTACAACACTTCTAGAGCAACAGCCAATATTCGAATTGTGTGTGTATTGTTAAACCTATCCTTTAATCTTAAATCCCTGTTTTCCTCTTCTACTGAAGTACTCTTGGTCAAGTGCATCTCCTTTCTTTTTCAAAACAAAGATGTTATTTCTTAAAAAAAAATCAACTTACAAATAAACCTCAAGAAAACAATAACCTCAAGAAAAAAAGTAGTCAAGAGAAAAAAAGAATGGAAAACCTCAAATATTTTCACAATTTTAATTAAAGTTATGATTACTTCAGTTGCAGGTAGGATATAGCCTTAGTTAGGAAGCTAAACAATTCTGATTAGAATGAACAAGCACACATGCACAGATCTAGGATGCAACAACTTATTGCAATTAACACAAGTTTTAAAGTGCCAAGTTACGAAATTAAACAGAACTGACCTTATACATTTGCTGTGTAAGACTAAATGTGTCAAACTGTATTTGATAGCCTTTAAAAATGTGGCATTTATACATTTTAACACCAAACAGTTGTCCTGATTGTACTGGCTGACACCAGATGGTTTTCCTGTCCATACAAACAGAGTAAACTGAACAGTATTAATTCCTTTAATTTTTTTGCCACTAATGCTTGCCACATGGCAAGTAGCCATTACAAATCTCGTATCAAATTTATTTGTGGAGAAAAGACTGAGAACTTCTCAAGGGTCCACATAGTATTAGAAATGTTGGAAGAATATTCAACAAAGGGAAAACTACATGTGGAATTACATACTACACAATATTACAGAAAAAGTAATAGCTGTGTTTTTAGATTAATATATGTAGTACTTATCATAAAAAGGGTACACAGGATTCACAGAAGTGTGATACACACTTCCTATTATTCTTCACCTACATGAAATTCCATCTACTTTGTAACAGCATTTTAACTATTAACAAGAGCCTAAGGAAAAAGTCAAGCCTTTCTATCACTTCCATTTCTGAACAGCACACAAATACCCACTGTCACAGCTTGTTTTCAGGATTAAAACCGAAACATGGAAGCTACACGATCTGTACTTAAAATGAAATTTTATACAAATAACTTAAAACTGCTCACTGTGTGAAAAAGGAAAAAGGCATTTTATTTGAACCTGGATTATAAGAGTTGCTATCAGCAGTTCAGTTTGGCATCAAACACTGAGCTATCCTAACAACAGATTTGACCAAAGTGGATTAGCACCCGGACAGCCCAATTGTTTCTGATTCAAAAGCTTTGCAGCCATCTTCTTCGAACTAGGAATCTGGAAAAGCATGTCTTCCAGCGTGCACATAGTTATCTGTCCTGAAGCTTGTAGTTTCGTATAAATATTTCCTAATTTGACAGAAAGGTCAGGGCTCTCTTCCATCTTTTCCCTGACTGTAGCCAGCTGCGGAATAGAAAATGACAGATTGTTACAGTTCAGTAAGTGGATTCTCATTCTACCCCTACACTGAAGAAAAGCAATAACTGGTATTAAAAAAAATAAAGTACATAGTGTAAGATAGGTGGCTAAGGCAATGACTCTTAAGATAAGGATTTTATGAAGAGTACATTATGCATCACCACAAAATGGTGGAAAGACACTGTTTATCTATTAAAGAGAGTTTATTAGATTTAAAACTTCCTCAGAGTTGTACAATCCTATTTTCAGTCCTAGTACAGACAAACACAATTATTTTCTATTTAAATCCAGGAAACACAATTGCTTCCTGTAATCTACTTTCCAGATCAGCACAATTCTAATTATTATGATGTATATTTGTAAATGGACAGGACAGTACAATTCCATAAAATTCAGACAATAGAAGACTGAGAAGTTCTGTTTGCTATACATAAGAGTATGAGCTCAAGTGTTAGGTAAATCCCTTAAAAAATATTATTATCAATAAAGTTTTGTGGAAGAGGACAGTGAAGACTAATGCTTAGTCTTCTTTTGACAGCTAAAAATTTCCCAAACAAAGTAAAAATATAACACTAACATGTGCAATGTTTATTGCAACGACTTTACTAAACAAACTGCTGCTTAAAGAATTTCTTTTCAACACAGCAGTTAATATATTTAGGCTACATTTTGAAAGGCTGGCCCTCCCCTTCTCCTAATATTTATTATTTTGCATATTAGTTATTAATTAATTACCAACCTAACAATATTGCTGCTACCAGAAACTTTATTGTCATTTCATATGAAATGAAAATAGCATGGGAGGCAAGAAATTACATTATTTAATGCTACTAGGGAAAGTGTCACCTACATTCAGATGAAATACGAGCTTCTAGAAGCAAGATCTGGAATAAAAAATGAAGCAAATAGCTAAGTGTTTTGTCCAAGAGTAGAGGAAGCCAGCGAACTGCTTTGGCCTCAGAATGCATCAGAACCCAGACAACTAGAGCAGGGTGAACTCAGGCACGTGAAGTGCTGTAGGTGATCCACCAGAGTCATGGCTTAGCCCAGTACCATGAACCTTCTCTCACCACTGTATACTTACCACCTGCTCAGAAAACTGAGTTCTTTTCACAAAGGGAGGAGTATCTGCTTCCACCGCTGCCTCTAATGTATTTATTACTTCTTTTAGCAAACCAGATCTGAGCTGGACAAGGACCTTAAAAATAAAATAAAAACACACCACACAAATAGTTCATATCATAAGAATGCAAAATTTTACAAAAGTGCTTGAGGAGGACATGAAGCAAAGGAGGGCAAAATACATTTCGAGACAGTGAACCAAGAAAAATACATCCAATGCAAAGAAAGAGATGGAATTAGCAATTTCTTGAAATGTTTGCCATTTTTTACCAGCTGGGACCTGGAAAGGAAGGGTGAGGCTTGAAGCAGGCTCCTTTGATGGAGTTATACTACTTGCTCTTGAATAAAGTGGTTTTCACCATAGTTTAGAGGCCACTTACATGGCACATGCAGACTTTCTCTCAGATTGTAGACTGCACGACTAAAGAAAATAATTCTTATATGTACATGTGTGGATATGGTGTGCAGGGATGAAGGAGGCCTGAAGTGGGCAGAGCATTTACTTGGAACTGTGTTTTTTAAATCTTTTGCAGCCAAAAAGCAAAAATCATAACTAGAAATTGTTCATGGGTCTATGCTCACAGATGTAGGATTGGCCTACTTTACATTCCCACCTATGGTAGGAAGTGATTTTAAAAAGTGAGTGGAGATTGTTAACAATTCAGAATGTAGTCATCCAACTGAAAGAAATTGTCTGTTGGCTCAAAAACAAATTCAGCAACACTACCAACAGAAGCCTGTGCCAGTAAGAGGCTGGTCTTCTATTACTTTGCACTTGGGAGTTTATTGGCCAATGGAGCATACTCTGCAAGATTTTAATACAAGGCAAGCATACTTACTTTAAGATTATTGTATAGTTTGTTCTCTGTTCTCATTATCTGGGAACAATAAAATTTGGCTTGTGCTACATCATTCTGTGAAGGAATCATAAATAATAAAAAAATAGTCATACATGTGTCAGAAACTTGCACAATGAAAGAAGCACAACTGCCCTTCACAACTCTTCAATGAATCACAATGCAGCATCTAGAACCCCTTTACCAAGACCCACAGACAGCAAACAGCACCCAGCCTGCAAAAGGAATACCCCATGCTGGAGTTCCCATGTCATCTGGCTCTTTAGTACTCTTTGTTTGTCACATGTAACCACCATTGAGCATGAGATCCCCTGAAAAATGGAAGGTTTACACACATGCTCAGATCAACACGTCAGACTAATGAAATGCACCATATGTTATTGCCCAGCCCTTCTAACCTTTTGGACATACACATTTTTAGTACTGTATCTATGTCATCAATTGATTTGAATAGACAGTAAATGTTACACTGGCATTTACTAGACCAAGCAATGTTACTTGGGATCAAGAAACATCTCTTTTCAGCAAGGAGTGCTGACAAAATTCATTCAGCTTAAAGAACAATTAAATGTAATGTGGAGCATTATTCCATTTGCAAAACAAGAATTTTATCATGTCATTGTACACATGAATAAATTTATTTCAATTATGCTGTTTTTCAGTGTCTACATTCACACAGAGTGCAAATAAACTTTTAACAATTCTACTCTATTCATGCAAATTTGTGATTAAGATCAAATTTATAGCACTTCCAGCGTCTCTGACCTCTATTTTAACATGAAACAGAGAAGGTTCAGGACACACCCAAGCTGCATACACAAATTAATGGCAGAGAAAATCCAAACTTTCTTCTAAACTTTATTCCAAACTTTATGATTTCCTAATAGTTATTCTCCTGCTCCACTTTTCACCCTGTGCTGCGTCAGAGCCTCTTCATACCAGTACTTAGGCATATGAAATAATGAAAAACCACCCTGGGCAGAAACATGTTGTGGAGACCATCTCCCCAGCAGTAGCAAAGTACACATCAAAGCCTTTGAGTCTTCCTCCCAAGACAAACATCTAAAAGATGATTGCACAAATACCTTAAATTATCATTTTAATTCTATTTAAAGGAAATTATCACTAAGTGGCAATATCTGCAGGACTAGATCCATGGTGACACCTAACCTGCTGGCCTAACTCTGTAATTTTTTAATGTTCTAGATGGTATTATCACAAAATATGTGTGCATTAGACTTGAGACATACATTTAGATTTAGAAACTTTCATATTCAGTTTGTGTGAGTATTGTCTATAATCCTACTATTTCAGGAGCCTAAAAGTTCCAATACTTGAAGCTATTAGATAGTTATGCTTTCTCGATGTTAGCTTCCTTTCACTATCCGTCTACAACAAAACCAGAGAGTATCTCTCTCTCTCTCTGCAGAGACCCAGGCACAATCAAAATCAAAGAGACCGTACCTGCTTGAGAGCAGTTGCCATTGCAAAGCAGTATGCTCGCAGTGGTATCATGTCACCTTTTAGCTGTGCCTCTTCAAGCAGTCTCACAGAGATTTTGGAAGACTCTGGGTTGCCCTGCATGGAAACATCACAGGAAGTTGTGCTTGTTATTTTGGTTACCTGAAAGGACTATAAGCACTTGCAATCATATCCAGAAGGTATTCAGAAGTCAACATAAAATCACAAAGGCAATATGTATCTGAACCCAACCAAGCAGATTCTGTGCAGCTCTTTTTGAGAAACACAACATAAATGATATGATATTCACATAAACACAACAATATGATATTCAAAGTGACAGAGGTCACAGGAGGGTAAAAATAACTTCTATTATTTTAACAAGTACACCTTGCCCTAACTACCTGGGCTTCTGCAACAGATGAAATAGTCCCAGCAGTATCCTAAACAAAGAGACATTTTCATTTTCACTTTCAAATAATTTCTAAATTAGGAAGGAAGATTAATTTTTGTTGTTACTTTATTATAAAAGCTACATTAGCTAGTAACTGAAAATCAACATTTTCTAAGCTTTGAACATATGTTGCACATATCTTGGATCACAGCGTTCTAAGAGCAGGCCACGTTAAAAAACTTGCGAACATTTTAAGAAAGAAGCTACAGCAGACCTAAAGGCAGCTTAACTCATTGGAACTGAGAATTTCAGAAAAACTACTATAAAAAAAACCCTACTATATAAACTACTGCTGAGGTTCCATTTTAGGCTATAACTGAGAAACCTGAGGAGGTTCAGTCTAGTGGTATAATTTTTTTCCTGGCTAGCGTCTTTATAAAGATGAGGAAATGGAAGAAGAGTTTCCAAATGAGTTTGGGAAAGGTTCACATTAAAATTTCAAACAGCAGAACTTACTCAAATCTGGAGAGGAAGATTTTGCTATGAAAAGGAAACAGTTATAAGAAAACACTCACTGACATATTCTAGCTTCTTACCATGCTCATGCTCTTTTTCTTTCAGCGAAACATACAGGTAAGCTCAAGGGGCTGCCTGTTTGCCTCAAGGCATTAATTTATGCTTCTTTTCTCCATTCAGCTGTCCATTTTCATCAGGAGGGTAGGGAACAGATTACAACTCTATTCCTTGTCAAATTTGTGTAGAATCACAGAAATGGTTCAAGACTGCTTGTAGGGGGAGGGGAGAAATGGATGGGGAGTGTCTGGCAAATAGAACATATCATGTATAAGCCTTAAGGAAATGAGACTATCAAAGCAATACTGAGGCTGAAGCAAAGTGTATTGTCTGAAGAGATACAAACATCACAGAGAAAGAATACTCTAAGGTAATCATAGGTAATCAAAGGCTGTACTAAATGTGTTCCCTAATGCTCATTTCCATGCAACTTCTTAGAGATTCGCTTTGTCACTTTAGTTTGTATGGGAAACAATATATGTGCATCATATCATGCAAGATGAAGCACATTAGGACTTGCGTAATTTTTAAATACTTGCACTAGATACAAAATCATGACAGGGAAAATATGGAAACACCCCAAAAATTCCAAAATTTAAAATCCAAAAAAAGGAAAGAGATACAGAAGGCATTTCAAACACTTTTTCATTCACAATACTTACCAGTTTATAGCATATTGCAACTGCAAGTAGATAGGTTTCTTTGTTGAAAGGTATACCTTGTTTTTTCATTTCTACCAGAACTTCCAAAGCACCTATCAAAAATATGTTAGTGTTACTCACTTCATAAATTTAAGGCTGTACCTCTCGTAACTGAAAAGAAGAAACAATTCAATGAGGTATGAGTTCAATAAGTTTATTTGAAAATATGAATGTAAACCGAAATCTGTTCTTTGAAAAATTCAAAAAGTTTAATTCAGTGTAATTTGGATCTCTTTCAACTTAGCAAGGAAGATTTCAGTTTACATTAGCACATGGCCTTATTCCTCAATTATTTTTACGTGAAAATCTAAAACTAAATTCTATATACTTGACAAAGCCACCCTCACTGTTCCTAACTGCCCAGAAAGCTTCCACCACTGTAGGCAAACTACACAACATCTGCTCAATAACCCATATAGTCAATTTCACAATGCTGAATCACAGAATTCAGAGAATCACTAAGTTGGAAGACACCTTCATGATCATCGAGACCAACCCAGCTGTAACACCTCAACTAAACTACGGCACTGAGTGCTACATCCAGTCTCTTTTTAAACAAATCCAGGGATGGTGACTACACCATCTCTGCAGGCAAACCATTCCAATACTTTATCACCATTTCTGTAAAAAACTTTTTCCTTATATCCAACCCATAATTCCCTTGGCACAGCTTAAGACTGTGTTCTCTAGTTCTGCATTTAGGTGCCGATCTAGGTTTCTTTTGCAGTGGCCCAGTAGCAACTTTTAGGACAACTGCTGGACTTAAATTTGCCAAATGTAAAGAGACCAGCTGTTATGTCTTCAACAAATATCAAATAAAGGGATTTGCTTGAAAAGCTTTAAGGTGTTCTCATGGAAGTCTTTTAAATTAGGTCAGATGATTTCTCCTCATCTTCATAAAGGGCCAAACTGATTTGAAGCATTGGACTTCTACATTGCAGTAGCCACTCTGAGAGAGAACACAAGTAGAAAGGTACTCTTCCTTGCTCTGATACAAATGCAGAATAGAGAAAAAAATTTTGAGGAAATTAACATTCCAAAGCTATTCAGATTTTGAACACAGTAGAAAAAATGCTATGGGAAATTATGAAGCAAAGAAAAGTAACAGTTCAGTGATGAAGGTTTGGGGGGAAAATCTCTCTTGGATAACAACAGTTCTGTGGAACTTGAATGGCAAGAATTCTTGGGGAGTATGAAACAAATAGACCCTACTATTTTTATTACACACTACAATGCAACACATTTGCATGTTTGGCCATCTAAAACCATAGCCAATCAGCAAATACATACACACACACACACAGATATATATATATATATATATATATATGTATATACATACATATATATATATGTATATACGCACACCACTTAAAGTGAGAAGCATTTTCCCCAAAATTATTTTGCCTTAGCAAATACAGTACTTACTTTCAAAATGGCCCTTTTTAAACAACATAGTCATCAAAATATGGAATGATGTACTGTCTGAGAAAAAACCATGCAAATTCTGGAGAGGAAATAGAGCAAACATAAAAAAATCAGGGCAGTGAAGAGTCTTACTGTGCACAGCATTTAGCAGGTCTTACTACTGGAATAAGTCTAATCTTTACAAGTTCAGCATTTAACTCTCTCTGACTGTCTGTCTCTCTGTCAAATGATGTCTAAAATACCAGTGACTCATTAGGGTCAAAAGCTCACTAAAATTACACAGAAATTTCCCAGGGAGTCCCACTATAATTTTTTTTTAATGACCTTTAAGTCAACGAAAGCAGAAGTCACTGGCAATTTGCAGCTGATGAACAATATCTTTTGGAGTCAAGTACCACCACCATGAAGTTGAATTAATTTTTCGCTAATCACAATATCAAATTATTAGTATAAGAGCTTGAGTGATGATGGTAAGAGTACCAGAAGAGAGAGGAATAAAATTTTAGGACACTAAACACTGTATGTTGGAAATGGACAAATAAAATATCAGAGGTATTGAGCTTCTGCAGCAGAATCTGGAGAAGTGTTACTGTACCAGTTACTATGTACTATAAGTACAGCAGTTCCTGTCTTAATGCTACAGATCTCAATTAAAAAAACCTCAAACCTTAATAGAAACTACATATGCTCTTTCTTATACATGCCTAACTTAAGAATAGTAACAAGACTTCTCCCATTTCTGGCTAGACATATCTCATGCCTTAATGAATTAATATCAGTGAGATTTTCATTGGCTGCCAGAGATTTTTGAAGTCACAACATTATTGCACACAGTTATTATCTTGCCATAATAGCAAGATATTATGCCACACAGAATTTTAGAAATGTTTGGGAGAAAGTCCTTCAGTTTCTTCAGCACTAAATGGCCAAATTCCTGAGCTGATGAGTATCACACTACCTCTACAGTGTTCAGAGAGAGACTGAAGTACAGAGTAACATGGTGAACCGGTTGGTACAAGTAATCCAAGGAATTTCAGACGACTACCACAGAAAAACTTACAAGTGCTCATTTCCAAGAATGATTTAATGCAACACAGGAGGCAGGAAAACATGCATCAGCTGTATTCATTTACATAATTATTCTTTCATCAATACTTTTTATTCAATTTTTATTCAAATGATGCAGTAATACAGAAATAAAAGAAAGTTACTAATCAAACTAATATTTAATTTCCTTTTAATTACTGTACTAAAATAAAAAAAAACCATGCAATCTGCAAACCTACATTAATGTCATAAACATCTTTGTTACTGCAACACATCTTCAAGTCTATCAGCTCATGCAAGGCTCATGTGTAGCATACCATTACTCATATTTGACTAATAATAAGAACAACAATATGTTTAATATATATACAGGGAAATTACCTGATCTTTGATAAGTTCTACTGCAGTTCTTTCAAGGTCTAGTTCATAACACAGCCTCATAAAGAGTGGACCAAATTTAAAATTATGTAAGGCTCTGATTCTATTCTGTTCATGATACCTATGGGAAAGATTAAAAATTAATCACATAGGGCATGGAATTTGCCAAGGGAGAACAGCTTTAAATAGACAGCCAGATCTGTAGGTACAATGAAAGAGGCACACTTTCCTAGCTGCATCAGCCAAAGATCTATAGGTAACAGGAAATCAATTTTAAGGAAAACTATTGCTTTGATCAAACAAATAAATTAATTTGTAATAAATAATCTCTTTTACTACCAATAAAGTAGTATTCATTGAATAACTAATAGAATGGGTCTCTGCCTTTAAAATTCTGAGCTACTTTACCTTCTATTCATGGGACAACAGCAAAGGAAGTTGCACCAATTTATTTTAGCAGCAGTACCTCAATGAAAAGATAAAGCATTTCGTTTTCTTTATAGTCCCTATATTGTATTTGCTGGGAAAGTTTTCATTCACAAAACCTTCAGCTACTGATTACTGGTTGCAGGCCAGTTTATAACCAGGCATGTTTTGGCTGGAATGCCCCAGAACACCTCCACCTCGCAGCTGTGGGATAATTTTTCTCTCTGGTTCACCATACTGTAGGACACCACTTCGCTCCTGTAACTTAACTCTCCTTTGACTTGAGAGTCTCTAAAGGGTTGGAACATCCAAAGCGCTTAAATAAAGATACAGCCTTAAATGAAGGGATTAACTATGCATATTAACTATGCATTAAGTCAAGACCTCAACTGCAGATATAGCCTGGGATGATCTAATAAAAGCAAAAAGATAAAGACAGAAAAGAGTGTTACCTGGATTGTTAAAAATACCTGTAAATAATTTTTCTGGCTAGTTCCACATCAGATGAAGTCTGACATAAATGCAGCAAATTTTTTAATTCATTTCTGAGAATGATTCCATTTTTCTTTAGTTTTTCTTTAATATTTTTAAAGTATTGATCTGAAAATAAAACACATACAACAGCAGTCTATAGACAATTCCATTACCTGAATTACATACTTAGTACCTGAAACATGGAGACTCAATGAAGCAGAACTCTTGTTTTTTCACCAAGAAAACTGCATAAAACTTCTAGCGGTCAAGTATGTTCAATATGTCCCCATGAGGTTATGTCAGACTTAGAAAACCAAGGAGATGCCTAATGTGAACTTAATTTCACTATATATGTTATGGGGCATATCAGGTAATGCAAAAATTTTAACAAGCAACAAAGTTTAGTGACATTTTATGTTCTTTTTCTAAAAGGCAAGCAAGCAAGAAAAACCATTTCCACTCAGCATTCAACTGACCACAAGAACTTCTACTCAATACTGTTCAGACAGAAGACTTAAATTCCTCACAGATGACGAACACACAAAGATTTCATACATAATCTACCTATTCCTTTAAATCGCCATAAACTTGGAGTTGCTACCCTTCTACTCCAAAAGAGAGGCTTCTCCATCCAGCACATTTTCCTATGACAAATCAAGCAGAATGACTAGTCCTTCAGTTGGTAATTTTAAGCCTCTAACTCAGATACAGCCAAGATTAAAATCACATGTACCACCTAGCAGCTCTGTTCCTCTCATGGTGCTGCCAGCATCTTGGGCTGGGAAATGAACTTTTCTGCAGCAGTTGCTGGGTCACTGCTCTTCCCAAGGGGTACAAAGCAGGCACCTCAGAGAACAGTGTGTACAGTTACTTAATACGCATCTGTGGCAACATGCAAGCACAAGTCCTTACTAAAGACTGAAGTGCAGAATTGAAGCCTGTGAAGCCAGACAAATGCGTATGTACAAGTATGCACATATAATGGCTGTGATGTGTTCAAAGGTGTGCAGGAATTTCAAAAATATTTGGGATCTCAACTGTATTTACATTATTCTAGCTAACTGTATAACTGCTGTAGCTAATAGTATAACTATTGTAACTACTGTAAAATAATTGTAGTTAATACTTTCCTCATAACAACAATAAATAATAGCTATTATATATTGTGTATAACAGTTATTACTGCTTTTCCCTAAACTTTCTAAATCAAGTTTATTACCAACCATAATTACTTATTTTCAGCTTTGAAGTATAACATTAAATACTCAACACAGAAACCACGCACACATACAGACAAATAGGTGCTTGGAACAATGTTTTCATTAGTTTTCAAAGAATACAGCTTACACAAAACCAGAGGGTCAACTGTGATCTATGAAGCAAAATATTTGGCTTATACTAACCTGCTTTAGCAGAAATGACTGATCCCCAGTACAATGTTTTTCAAGTACAGGATGAATAAACTGTGATATTATGATATCATTATCCCAGCAAAATATAATGATATTATGTCTCAAAATTATACAATTTAAATACTACTTGATATAGAAAAAATGTAAGGAAGATTTTACTTCCCTCTCTGTCCCACAAGAGGGAAGTAAAAAAAGGGTTTATATAAAGCTAGATCAGATTATTTGTCTCCCCTTAAAATTAGCAACAACCTTTGGAACAGTTGTCAGTTTCTATCACTAGCACACACACGCATGGTAAACCAGGAGTTTTACCTTGCTTTTCTTAAATAAGGAGGGCAGCTTCATGTTTATATTTATGTTTCTTAAAGAAAGGAATTTGTATACATTTTAAATAGCATGACAAAATCAGAAAAAAAAATCCACTGATCCTGCTCCTACATTCATTTGGAAAACATGAATTTGTTTTTCATATTCTGAGTAGCATATATCATTTGGAATCAGATGTACAAGTGAGAATGCATATTAGACAAAAAAAATTTAAAAATATGCTAACAAAATTTAGGGAGCAGAATTAAAAAAAATTACTGTGAAAGCCCTTTTCTGGATAGTAAGGTAACTATTTAGCTTTGTGTTAACTTTCTGTGTCATACTTGTTTCATTCTACAAAGCCTCACATCTTCCAATAATATTAAGTACAAAATATTTGCAAGAGGAAGACATAATTTATTTTTTTAAGTGAGGTCAATTGGTGTCATATTGTTATGACTTTGACTGTTTGTTTCCTAAGACTCATGCTAAAGTGGTAACTATGAAATAAACAGTGTACCTTTATTGCCATGAAGCTCATTTCTAATTGCCACTTTCATCTGCTGAAATTCTTGTAACTTTATATCTTCTTCTGTTAGCAGACACCGCTTCCCTGCCATAAGAAAAAAAGAGGAAGGTAGAGTTTTATGTTACATTGTATGATTTAATAGTACAGAACCTAGCATGTACGAATTATGGACAACTGTGAGATGCCAGACCACTGGGATAGAACACTATGCAAAACCTGCAGTTACTCACATCACTGACAAAAGAACCCAAATAATATGTCATATTTCCAGAGCTTATGTGTACAAGGATGAAGTATCTAGTTATTGGATGTGCAAAAGAAAAACTAGAGGCCACATTCCTCTCCACTAAGCCAAAGTACAAGAAGATTCTGCAAAAAATTCCTGCTCCCTCCTTTACACTTTTATAAGGATTTGTCTTCTTTTCCTTTGTATTCCACAATTCACTAATGGCACAACTTGCTTATCCCACAAGTGCTGTCCTTGCTACTATAAAATGAAACATTCTGGAAATTCCAAATGCAGCAGGAAGTCACAAGAAGCTTATTTTTTTATATCCATAAAACAAACAAGTGTATTATTTGGATTGCAACACTCTGGAGACCTAGTAATGTTCTGCTGCAGTACAGACATCAGAGGTAAGACAGTCACTGAGTCTAGAATGTCAAAATAACTTTGGGTGCTGACTTCAACTGTATTGTGTTGCAAGCTGCTTTAAAACAAGCATCATACAAAAGCTATTTGACAACTTTTTGCTGTCACAAAAACAGGTGTCCAGATGATTTTTATTTGCAACTACTGACTTTGTAACAGAGAGTCACAATAACAGCTTACAGTGCTACAATCTAATATTTTAAGGCTTTGGCTTATAAGGAATTATTCTAACCATGAAAGCATAAGAGTAAGTACTGAACTGAGTAAGGTTGCTTATTCTCATTCTGCATATCCCTAGGAAAATGTAACTGGCCATATAAATAAAAATGCTTGTTTTCTAAGCAAGTGAAGCATGATAATGACAAACTTCATAAAATCTGAAGAAAAAAAAATCCATTAAAAGGCACATTTATCCATTAAATTTAAATGAAACACTTCCAAGGGGTAAACAAATACATTTTATTCAGCATGAAATTGACCTGTATTACACTGCCATTTCCTTTCCACAGATCTCTGCTGGTCTACCACTGAAAGACCATTCTTGTCAAGGGCCTCTTCAAAGCTGGTGCAGAAATTTTGCTTGTGCTTGGGGTGGGACTAGTGCACCACACATCATGGACTCTCAGTGGTCAGTGTCAATACAGAGATTAGGGCAGCAGAATTTTATCTTTCTTGAATTCAATTTTCTGAATTGTACTGCTTCCTTAGACTCATATCTTAGAGTGTTACAGAAATGCTTCAAAACCATAGGGTCTGCCAAGGAAAAGGAGGGAGATGAATATGACAGCTGGCATGTGCAGGTAGTGCAGACTATTCCAGAGAACTCGACCAAGCTGCTTAAGGTCAGGCACACTGCAACCCTCTAAATGGCAGTCCCTGAAGGAGATGGGCAGAACACCACTCAGAGAGAGTGGTCTCCATGTCTCTGAGGGATATGACAGAGGTGTAACCTGTGCACTGCTGGCACAGCAGGACAAAGAGCCCAGCCAGGGCCCAGGCTGGGGAGCCCTCTGCCATGCACCTCTTTTCCATGTGCCCCTTCTTCCTTATCTCTGAAACCCAGGGTCTGGATAAGGCTGTCGTCCTCCCAGAATAAATAGACATTTATGAAGCTGCATGTTTATTTGGTTTGGCTTTTTTTTTTTTTTTTTAATGTAATATCCTGACAGTAGCAAGCAGGGGATATGCTGATTAACACTGATCTCTTGGGTGACCCTAGTGTAGCCTTTCAGTGGGGCCTGCAAGAGCTGGAGTGCAACGGGCACAAGGGCGTGTAGTGCTAAGCCACGTGGGAATAGCATTCGACTAGAGTGAAAGGTTTTGATCAGAGAATAGGTTTAGGTAACATATGAAGAAGGAATTATATACTGGAAGACAGTGGAATAAGGTGCTTCGAGAAGCTGTGGATCTAACATTCCTGGACATGCTCGGGGCCAGGCTGGATGGGGCTCTCAGCAATGGGGTCTAGCGGAAGGTGACCCATGGCACGCAGTGGATGATATTTAAGGTCCCTTCCAACCCAGGCCATTACGTGACTGCTTCACCGATTCTGTGATGTCTCTCTCCGGAGGGCACCCCTGCCGCCAGCTCGGCCTGTCCACCGCAGCACAATCCGCGGCGCCGCCCGCCACAACACCCCGCGCCGAGCCGGCCATCCGCGCAGAACTACAGCTCCCGTCGGGCACAGAGCCGGCAGGGCGGGTGGGCCTGCCCGGAGCTGCAGTACTCCGCTAGCCCCGCGCCCCGGCCGCGCATCCCGCCGCCCACCCCCGCCGCACAAGCCGCGGTACCTCCGGGAGCGCAGCCCCAGCCGCCCGCGGTGGGCGGCTGGACCGCCGAGCGCCGCGCCGCCTGCCGCGCCGCCCGCCCGGAGCCGCCCGCCAGCACCGCCGCCATAGCCGGCCGGGCCGAGGGGCGGGGCGCCCGCAGCGGCCCCGCTCCGCCGCCCGCCTCCTCCGGCCTCGGCGCCATGGCCGCCCCCGGGCTCCGGCGCGCCGTGCTCTGCAGCGGGAGCGCCCTCGGCGCGGCCCCAGGTCGGTGCGCTGCTGGCGGGGCGGGGGGCGCGGCGCTGGCCGTCCTGGTCGCCGCATGAGCAAGGACGGGGTGTTGCGTAGGGACTTTACTCACCTTTCCTTCTTCATCTCCTGCTATGTGCACGTGTGGAAGTGGGGATAGCTCAGAAGACGTTTAATGGCTAGTATGTAGCGGGGGAGGCCGCTCGCAGTTTGTTTTTTTAATAGGTAATTGATTTCATAGCTCGACCTGCCTGTCTGGGTTAGGGCAAGCCACGCGGAATGGCGCGGGAGGCCGCCAAACCCGCGGCAGTGCGTGCTTAGGAAAACTGGTACCGGAGGTGACAGAGGCGCCGCCGAGGCTGATGTTTTGGAAAAGCCAAAGACCTGACCGCCGGGAAGAGCTGAGGCTGGGTGCGGTGCGGTGGCGGTGGGCGGCTGCTGCGCCTCCCGCCTCACCGGGCGCGTGTTCTGCGTGCCGCGTCCTGGCGGCCCGGCCCTGCCGCCCGGGCCCGGCCTCGGCGCCGCTCCCACACCGGGGCCTGTGCTGCGGGACGCTGCCCTGGACCGCCTCGTGCTGGCTAGTGGCCTCCTTAGCTGTCAGTGAATGAATGGCATTTTATTTGTGAAGCGAAAAAAAAAGACAATTAAAAACCCAAAGCCCGCCACACCAAACCCCCCGATTTTTTTACGTGTCTCTTTTATCAACATAAGGAAAAAGACTGCTAAAGGAAGTGCCACCAACCAGAAGTACTTTTTTTTTCTTTTATTATTCTAACTGTTTAGTAAAGTGTTGTACATATTTTTGAAGTCTGGAATTCTGTGTTCTGAATCTTCTTATGATAGTTTCATGAGAGTTCAATGCAGGATGTGTGGGTATATTGTGTGTCAGAAGGGTGATAAGAAGGAAAAATTGTTTCACAAGGGAAACGAAACTTTTAGTGCTAGTAGATAGGTATTTGGGTACAGGCTTTGAAGTAGTTGCTAAGCCTTCTATATAGCATTGTAACATCTCTTTTTAAAATATTCTTATTTCATGACATTATTTCCTGTGATTTTTCTGCATGTATTTCTGTATCTTCCTTCAACGAAGGTGTTCCTCATGCATTTTCAAGACCTCATCATCTATGACTGATACACAAATTCTTCCAACTGAAGCATTTTCTGTTTTTTTTTTCAAAAGCTAGGACAGCATCTTGAGCAGTGGTACAAAGAGTGTTTAGAAAAACCTTACAAAGATATTTCAGTGAGTCTGTAGTTCATAGGATGTGGAAGAGTGGCAATTATAAAAATGAAAGTATTTTCAGTGAGACATGCCTTTATAGGTGGAAATAACCATTCAGCAACAATGGAAAAGCATGTTTGTGTGTTTTTTCTTATTGCTTATGTTTTTAATGTACATTTAGCTTATTGCTAACATTTGATAAAGAAGGTCTGTATGCACAAAGAAGTTGCTTTTATTGTTGAGGTTTTTTTCTACCTTTACAAATTTGTTCTTTTCTTAAATACGAAGTTTAGGTTTGGAAATACATGTTTCATGCTGAAAAAGAGCTTTTGGGGAAAGCTTTTCAGTTTTAAATATTACAAAGTAATAGTTGATCCACATATAAAGAATCTGAATAGTTACATTAATAGTTACTGACATAAAGACAGTTTAATGCATTCCACTTGGCAAATACGACAGAAGAAGGTGGTACCTAATAAAATGTTTGTTTAGAGTTGTGTAAGCAACCCAGCTTACATAGTGATTTCTCTCCTCATTAGGTCGAAGATACCTTCTTTCTTCAGCCTATGTGGACAGCTCAAAATGGGAAAAAAGAAAAAAAGAGGAGCATAATCTGGGTGAGAAGTTTGTTTCTTGTCTCCGCTTTTTCTAATTAATTACAACCTGAGCTCATTTTGGGCTACCTTATTATTTGTAAATCCTTCAAAATAAAAAATGGTGTGAAACAATGTTTCTGAGCTTCTGTGTCAAAAAGCACTCAACATGTTAAAAATTTGTCATATGTATTCAAAGCATAGTGCAGAAACAAGTTAGAATTCCCCTGCTTACTTAATGTTTAGTTTCTATGAGCTGATTTTTTTTCTTTCACAAAATTCAAAGTGTATGACTATCTCTGACTGATGTCATTGACATTGTTTTAACAGTATTGCAGTGTGAAAAAAAAGGTATTCTAGTAATGATCTAAGTATTATAGGACAATCAAAAATAATCTAAATATTACAGGACAATTAAATTTAAAGACATTTGTTTAAAGAAGAAATTTTCCTCAGGGTTTTGCAGTTTCTTCTTGAATTATAGAGTGTTTTTAGGAGGGAGTAGGGAATGAAGCTAAACTTTTTATTTTCAAGACATACATGTTAAACTGTATCTTTACATGGTACTGAGATCTCCTGTGCAAATTTTCTAGCTGAATTATTTGCATAGATTGCATTTGAAATTAAATTCCAGTGCCTTTTTGGTGTTAAAGGAAAAGCATTTTTCTGCGCTAAAGATGGATTTTTTTTTTTTTTTTAATTTTTTACCACAGGTGTTTTGGGGACTCCTTTATTCATGGTCTGTTTTCATTACTGGGCCCCTGAACTGTGGTTGTTACTTGCAAAACAGATTATGGGTCTGTTTTTTATGCACTAATTTGGTTTTTTTATTTGCCTACGAGCATTTAGGTGGGAATTGTCAATGTGTACTCTACACGGATGAGAAACAGTGGGTGGATCTTTATGTATGTAGCTTGGATCCTGCAGAGACTGTTAATACCTTGTTACAGTTTGCTATCAATAGGACTGCTCATGCTGTGTCTTTTGGGCTGGAGCCACAAATTTATGCCATGGGATGCATTTGAACTAGTCATCTCCAGGTGAAAATGCGTTCTTAATTTGGCAATTGTCATAGACAATAGAAATCTACTGTAGAAAAATCCACTGTTGTGCCTGTGCTGGTACCGTCCATGTTTGGCTTTCTCCAGGCCTGGCAGGACCTTCTGTGACTATTTGGCAGGCACAGTTCTTGCTACTCCTCTGCTGATGGTCTTGAACCAGAGCAGATGTCTATTCCATGATTTTCAAATAACTGCTTTGCATTTTTATTTTGTGTTCACAGAAAAGAGAAAACAAGTTAGCACGGTGTCAGCTGTATTAGCATTTTCAGAGAGGAGACAGTCCTGCAGACGTCTGCTCTGTAGCTCTCAATTGTCTGGTTGCACATATAATCTTGTGTGTACTGACTGGTGATTATAGCTGAGTGAGTTGAGGAAATGCTCTTTTATTTCTGTGTTTCAAACACTGTTTTAGAACTGTTGTTATGCAAAACTATGTTGTGAGGATACTTTTAAAGGCAAAATAAGTATTTTTTTATTTAAAGTCAGTTCCATTTCTCTGCTGCAGTGATGTGCTATCCCAGATACTCATTTACTGTGTCCATGTAAGACATGATTTATTGTCTTCACTGTAACCTCAGTTTAGAATCCAGATACGAATGAGTTTAGCAAACTTCACTACTGAAAAATGTATGGGTAAAAGCATGACTGTATTTTTGTACCAAAATGCTTTTATTAAAGGAGATAGGAATTGAAAATGTGTTAACTTGGAATTTGCAATTTATTTGTTGGTAGGAAGATGCCTGCCTAGAAGTAATATGGATTCCATTTATTAAAAATTACGTACAGAGGAACCCAGAATCCCAGGGGATGGCAGAATCCAGGTGATATAGGAAATTTCTTTTGTTTTTGTTACAAAGATTCACAGTGACTAAATTGGCTCATCTGCAACACCAGGTGGCAGTGCTGCCCGTAAAAACATAAATAATTTCCATTCAAAGCCTTGTTCGGTACAAAGCTGTTGTTCTTTCCAGTTATGTGGACATAGAGTTAAATGTTGAACATATAAATTTGTAAGGTAAAATACTTGTCTTGGCCTTTATATTTTATTTAAAATAAAAATAAAATTAAACACGGCTTTCTTTATAGCACCAGTTAGCCTGTGAATTAAGGTATTAGCTCTGCCCATCAGTCTCAGGACAGGTATCAGTTTTGTCATCATTTCCCACCACTGGATCAGATTCTGTCTTGAGTGAACCATTTCTAAGAATACAAGGGCGTAAGTAGAATAAAAGTGACCTTATATGGCGGCCAAATGTGCCCCATATTGATAATGTGCTGCTTGTTGGTGTGCCTACGTTCTGTGGACAGGTACACACTGTGAATCAAACTGAAACTATGTTGATTTCCTAGGCCACCAAACTGGTGTTAGAAGTTATAACCACTGATTTGGAAGGTGAGGGTCAGTATTTTCTGAGCCACCCTGTTGCAGGCAACAAGCTACTGAGTTTCTATGAACAAATGAAAATAAAAGTGAGCATGAGAATACATGATAATGTATATCAGTATATATAAGACCTCTGTGAAGGTCATGGCCTGAAATTAAATTACTTAAGCTTATATTTATGGCTTGTTTTGTTAATTTCATTAGTTCTTGAATATGCAGTAAAACATTTTTAGAGAAATTGAATTTATGAAGAAATGTATTTATGTAGAAATATGTTTTTAGGCAGCATATGTGAGAGATTTTATAGACTAGTGTGTTTTTTGATGAGTCAGACGAAAGCATTTGCAGTATGTATCTGTTAAAACGTACACAGAATTCTGATTTGGCCATTAAAATATTGTCTTGGTTTATACACAATGCCAGCACTCGGGTTTTACTGCCAACAGTGGTAGGAGATTTGAGCATTCACATGCTTGCATTCTAGTACTGCTGTCAGGATACTTTCATTAATAAGAAACTTTATTCTTGATTATTGAATAGCAATTTATGGAGCAAACTTGACTTGAATTATTTCAGATTATGAATTTGACCAAAAAAAAAGTCTGGTTTTAGGTGTTCTTCACAGAAAGCAAGCTAGGAAATAATTACTCATTGCAATTAATTCCTGTAATAATACTACTGCAGAAACAGCAACTT